AAGATACCAAAAAAAGGGGGGGGTGTCTTATCTTAATGACAATTTGAGGCAAAAATATTGGAAAATTAGGATATTATGACAAAATGGTCAATAAATTCTCAGTTAAATTAAATATTCAAGGTGTCAAAATAAAAAACATTTTATCAGTTCTGAAGGAAAAATTTATGATTAGATAAAAAAGGAAAAGAAAGAACACCAAGTAGTTGTCTCATTTTACAAGGTAGGCACAGGTCTTAGAAAATGCCAAAAAAATGGCCAGGCACAGTGGGGAGTGCCTGTAATCCCAGCACTTGGAAGGCTGAGGCAGGAGGATCACAAGTTCAAAGCCAGCCTCAGCAATTTAGAGGCTCTAAGCAACTCAGTGAGATCCTGTCTCTAAATAAATGGGCTGGGAATGTGGCTCTGTGGTTGATGCCCCTGGGTTCAATCTCTGATACCAAGGGGGCAGAGGAGGAAGGAAAGAAGGAAGGAAGGAAGGAAGGAAGGAAGGAACAAACGAACAAATGAACGGAGGGAGGGAAGGAGGGAGGATGCAGCTTCCTCATCACTCACAGACAAAGGTTCTATTAGTTAGATCTGCTTCCTAATCATCCTAATCAGGAAAGTAGGGATCAGAAAAACATGAAAAGTCAGATTGTTCTAGCTTGTTATCCTAATATAATTTTTCTAGCTATTGTCCAAATACAATCAAATCAAATTTGTGTTCAGGTTTACTACATTCAAGTATTCAAGTATCCAGTCCAACACTCTTTTCTCATCTCTTTACTGACAATAAATATTAGTGACCAATATCTGATAATTTCCTAAATAAAAGGGGTGAGTAGATGCATAAAGGAGTTCATTAAGGTGAGGAGAAAGAAAAGTGTACCGAAAGGGAACACAGAAATACCAAAGACAGCTGTTGCATAGTTTTCTGCCTAAAGGAAACCTTTGACTATTATCTAGACAAATATTAACATTAATAGCCAGAACTGCACATGCATCTACCTTAGTGGGAATACCACTCCTACCTTAGTGGGAATACTACTTTTCAGGGATATAATGCAATCTAACCCCTGGTTCACAAACACTACATTCAATTTGGACCTCATTATAAGGGAGATCCCCTCCCAGAATATTCCCTAGTTATTGCATTATCATAATTACATAGCTTAACCAAAATTGTCCATAAGGGATCTTGAAAACAAGAAAAAACAACTGCAATTGTAATCCAAATATAAGAAACTGCCTTCTACCGAAACACAGCATAAGAGATGCAGGGTAATATCCTAGTATCACATATTTTTTATATTCAATGTATTTATTGTGCCTTATTTTCATATTATTACCATATACCACATAATCATCTAAAGCAACATCAAATTGGGGATGTAGTTCAGTCATAAAGTGATTGCCTAGCATGCATGAGGCCCCGGGTTCAACCCCCAGTCCCACCAAAATAATTAATAATAATAATAAATTATTCATGAGACAGGTACAAGGGCTCTGTAATTTATCAAGACAGTCAAATTCAACAGGAAAAAATAGAGGCTTCAAAAACAGCCTGAAAGACACATCAAAGAAATATGAATGATCAAAAGTAAACATTTAATGCCCCAAGTATAAACACATTCATTTAACAAACATTAAATAAGTTCCTTTCTAATATTCTAATTTAAGCCCCTACAAAGTTATAAAAATACAAGACATGAAATTTGTTAATTCCTCAAAGTAATTTTAAATACTAAAATCCACATTCTATATCTAAGATGTTTGAATATAAAAAATTTAAAATAAACTACTATCCAAAAAAGCTGATTAGCGAAATCATACCCTAATGATACATAAAAAGTTTTGCTATATTTTTAAGTTAAAAAGAATTACAAAATGGGTATGGCATACACTTGTAACTTCAGATACTTAGGAGGTTGAGGCATAAGGATCCAAAATACAAGGCCAACCTGGGCAACTTAGAGACACCCTGGCCAAATAAATAAATAAGAATAGGGACACTGTTCTGAGGTAGAGAGCTTTCCTAACATGCGTGAGGCCCTGAGTTCAATCTCAGTACCAGGGGGAAAAAAAATTACAAAACCACGTACAGTGTACTACAATAGCACAGAAAGAGGAGACAGAAACCAAAATGTTTATAGTAATTTTATCTTGGTGGTAAGATTATAGATGACTTTTTTTTTCCTTTTTCCTTTTTGTATTTACACTTCTGATTTTTCAATATGAATGTGCTTTCCCTCTGTAATTAGAATTTATTTACGACAGGTGAAATTTCCCTCTTGACAAACTTCTTTTTAAAAGCTTATATTTTAATGTCAGGTAAGATAAATTTTCAGAATGTAATATGCTGTTACACAGAAGCACAATTTTTCATGTCTTCCCATGTCCTTGACAATTATATGATATTCTTTTTAGTACAATATAAGAAAGACAGTTTAATTAAAAGATCATTGTAAATGTCAATTTCTACTGAATATCAACTTCAAATTAAAATTATATCTTGAAAGAATTTTGTTTTCTGTAATATTGATATCTACACTCAAAAGTGGTAGACTTTTTATCATTTATTCCCCCCCCAAGATAAATACCTTTATTATTAGCTCTTTAAAAAACATTGAGGATAAACTATTCATCACTAAACACTGAAATCCAGGAGGAGGGAGTCAGTGGAAAACATTTGTATTTTACTAAATAAAATTAAAGAATGCACTTACAGTTTCAGAAGATGCAAACATGTTTTCCAACTGCTGAAAATTTAAACTTAATTTCATCTAGCCTAGAGGTTCTCAAGCACTGATATGTGGGAGTTGCTCAGGAAGTAAGCCAAATACAGAAAACCATAGCCCTAGTGCTCACCTAAGGCACTATCCAGCAGGTAGAATTCTGAACAGCCTGGTCCTTTCAAGTGAAATAGTGGGGCAGAAATTTGACTTAATAAAAGCCTTCTCTATAGAATTGCAAAGTGTCCCAATAATTCTGAAAGGAACTTCTCAATGTAAACAATGGTATATCAGAGAATTACAATTTCATAACTCCTATCCATTAATTCATCTGTTCTTCTCTGTAGTAGCCTTCAAACATCTATACAATTCAACAAAACCACACATGCACTGCAGAGTAAGAAAACCCCAAAGGCACCTGTGCCTGATAAGACAAAGGCATATCCGATTTCAGGAGAAAATAGACAGCAGATGTGACCCCTGTATTTATCCATTAAAAACAATGTATCCTAAAAATAAATTTCCATGTCAACCGAACAAAGATGTTTATAAATAAGAAGGAATGTGGAGGTGTGGGGAAGACAAGAGGAAGCTTCAGTAAGTTAAGTACCCAAAGCCAGGAAACAAGACAGAATGAATGGTAAGAGGGCAAGGGAAACAGAATAAACTAGGAACTGGATGAAGGGAAGAGCTTTATCCTTGGAATCCAAGCAGTTGAGAGAAATGAATAGATATTAGTAGGAACTGATGTGAACAGAAAACTGGAAAGTGAAATGATTTTAAGTTAAGAAATAAGAAAAAAGGGGAAATTTAGCCTAGACCAAGTGTGCACATTTTGGGCACAGATGGAGATGGTATATAAAAGGATCGAAAACAATAAAAAAAATTAGACTAATTTCCAAACTAAAGAGGATGAGGCAGAAAAAAGAAAATTGCAAAGAACGAGATGTTATAAGAATTGGGAAACAAGATGTAAGTAGCAGGAAAGAAAAGAACTCTAAGTCTACAAAATGAGTCACAGTAATCAATAATAATATAGGTAGGACATATATTACATTATTAGTTGTAAAGTATAATAGTGTATTGTTCTGTGTAGTAAGGTACCAAATTCTGAATATAGTGAAGTTTATGCAATGAAAACGTAAGTTAAGTACCTTGACAAGGTGACAAAAGGCTTAATAGTGCAAAGACAGGAAAGAGGCAAAAACTGAAGAGAGGAAAAAGTGAGAGAGAAATAGGACGAAAAGAAGGGCAACACAGAGAAATCAATCAAATTTACTTAAAAAAAAAGAATAAAGAGGTGTGGACGCACAGTGAGAGACTAGTCAAAAGGTGTCAGTAGGGTAAGGGTGCAAAAGAGCCAAGCGAAACCGGAGGGAATCTTGACAGCTTCAGGGTTCAGAAAGTGAGCAGCTTTCAAGTGTCCAGAAGGGTTCCTGAAGATAACAATAGATAGGAACGACGGAAAGGAGCGGCGGAGCGAAGCAGAGGGCCTCAAGAGGACCAGGGTTAAGAGAAGTGCAGAGGTTAGGAGGMTGGCAGGTCCGACAAATGGAAAACGTGCGGGGCGAGAGGCGAGGACGGGATGGGGGTTACCAGTCAGAGACAGAGCACTTGACAAATATCAGGGACGAGGGACCCGAGACCGGGACGAACAGGGCAGCAGAAACTGTGCGATCCGGGGGCGGGAAAGCGAAGACAAAATCCCAACTATCCGCCTGGGAGAACAGGTGAAAAGAAATCCCCCCAACAAGTACCGAAGTGGAAGGAGGGACAGCGGCCTGACGAGGGTGGGAGGGTGGTCAGGGGGAGGAGAGAGAGACGCGCCCCGTCACCCCGGACCCGGGAATAATCCCACACGGCGGTAACCCGGGCCGGGTCCTGGMGGGTCGCACACCTACAGCCTCCACTTCGACGAAGCGCCCCCCCCTCCCCAATGAAAACCCCGAAGAGATGCCGGACTGACACCTCCGCCAGGCGTGACCTTCCCCGGCCGGCCAGCCGAGCTTCGCCCCCTACTGACAGCCTCCAGCCGGTCCGCCGCGGCCGAGCCCACAGCAGGGGTGGGGGCCAGGGGACCCCCCGTGCCATTGTGTGTTTACGTAGCGAGGAGCCGCGTGACGGAGAGGGGCCGCGGGACGATGCCCACTCACCACCCAGCGGAGCCGACGGCAGAGGGTGGCCCAGGGCTCCAGAGCCCCCGCCGCCGCCGCCGCCTCTCTCCCCCAAATAAACACCCGTCCGCCAGCGCGGAGACGCCGGGGGCTGCAGGGTGGCGCCGGCACTCACCTCCTCGGGAATGGCAGGATCCGCCGCMGAAGAGGCCGCAGCGCCGGCCTCCGGCTCCATGTCCCCGTTGAACAGAGACTGGCCCTGCTCCGCGCCGCCGCCGCCGCTCAGCGCCGCCATCTTATAACCGAGAGCCGGGCCCGGGCGGCCGCAGCTGGGCGGGGAGGGGGAGGGAGGAGGAGGGCGGGAAGAGGCGGGGGCGGAGGCACGGGGGGCGCGGGGAGGGGCGGCCGGGGCGGCGCCGCCGGCGGGAGGGCGCCTGCACGGCCTCAGGTACCGGCCCGCGGCCCCCGGCGCAGCGGTGCCTGAGGGGATTGGGGGAAGGACGCGGGGTGGGGGGGCGGGCGAAGGGGGCGGAGACGACGAGAAGTCGCCGCGGCAACGGCGTCACCCGCGTGTCACGGTCGTGACGTCACCGAGAGTGCGTGACGTCACCGAGGAGCGCCCTCGGRCCGTCGTCAGGAGGAGGGTTCCTTTCCCTCCAACCACCCAGGAGCTCACGCGTTTCCTCCGTTCCGCGGTTGCCATGGCGCCGGTTTCCTACTTTCCTCCCCTCTCGGCGGTCCTCGGCCTGTTGTGTTCTGTGGGATTTACTAGAAGAGCAGGGGTGGTGTTGGAGAAGTTGAAATCCTGGAGGGAGGGAGGGAGGCGGGGAAGCCCGTACTACTAGTTATTTCCATTACAATGAAAGTCKTGTAAAAGTCTTGTCCTAAAAATAAGACCTCAAACCCCAAGGTTGAAACATTTAAGCAGAATTTCAGAAATTATATTTAGAAACTGCAAAATTGTCAGTATGGTATTCAAACCCTTTCCTTAAAGGACTTGACCTGTTAAAGTGAATCCAAGTGGAACTCTAAAAGCTTTTTTATTTTTCATCGTTGAGAAAAGAATGTTTTCTTTTAGTGTATTATTCTTTTTCTGAAGCCATTCGTTTTAACAAATATCAGACGCTTTCCACATGCCCTGGGGCCCCTGCAAAGCACATAACATTCTAGACATCTGAAGCATCATAACTAGTCACTTTGGGGTTGAAGAAAATCGTCCCAAATATTTTACATACTTCATGAACGGGATATTCCAAGGCATACTCTGTGCAAAATATATGTGAAAATAGTTGAGAGAGGAAAGATAAATTTTCTTTGACAAGCACAATTACAGAATGGAATTAAAGAAACCCCCCTCATTGTTGACAATCCATTTAATCTAAAAGAACGGGGGTGGGGGTGGGGGKAATAATCAGAGAAGAAAATTTTTAAGGAAGGGAGATAAAAAGTGAGAAGTTACTGTAGGTGTGTGATTGCTAAAATAACATAATCATGAAGTCATGAAAGCTGGAGTGAATTCTGTCTTTTTGTGCTTTCCTTGAGGGGATGGAAGGGGGGTCACCAGTAACCTCCTATTTGTATTTAGGATGATTCAAGAGTTAGCTGTTTTACTGACTTCTGAAACAGGATCTCAGCCTATTTCATTGGGTCAACATGAGCCTGGGAACTGATGCTTACTCTTAAGGAGAGAGAGAGAGAGAGAGAGAGAGAGAGAGAGAGAGAGAGAGAGAGAGAGTGTGTGTGTGTGTGAGAGAGAGAGAGAGAGAGAGAGAGAGAGAGAATACTAACATTCCTCTACCTTGAAAATACTACCCATCAAATGAGCATGGTATGCTTTGTCAGCTTCATTGTACATTCTCTTCCAAGCAGGAAAGTTTCCTTAAGCAACTAAATTTAAATCTGAATGTGCTCTGGCAAATATAGAGTAAATGATGATGATCACAGGAATGTGTCATCAAGCTATGCTAGTGTGAAGGACCCTTCTTCTTTACCATAAGGACATACTTAAGAGCAGACTGAAAGAGTACCATTAGACAGTCAGGACACCCTTTCCCCTTGACTTTATCAAAAACAAATGGCAAGATTGTTTTTTGTTTTAATTTGTCTTATTTTTTAAAAAAGCTCTTAAAATATTATATCATCATTACACTTCCTTATAATGTTAAAATTTCTAGGATGTCTCTATTGATTCCATTTTAAATGATAACCTTATGTATCAACCTATAGATCAATTATCTTTCATGATTTCTTCTCYAGGAGATGAGCGCTCACATCCATTTAATAATAATTCTTGTTAGTTTTGCCAGGCACAGTGGTGCATGCCTGTAGTCCCAGCAGGTAGGGAAGCTGAGACAAGAGGATTGCAAGTTCAAAGCCAGCCTCAGCAACAGCAAGGTGCTAAGGAACTCAGTGAGACCCAGTCTCAGAATAAAATACAAAATAGGGCTGGGGATGTGGCTCAATCCCCAGACCAGAGTTCAATCTCCAGGACCCAAATAATAATTCTTGTCAGTTTCATTACATTCAATATTCTCTGACCTTGCCTTCAAATTCTGGATTTATCTTATTTTCTTAGGCCATTTCTACAGTATCCAGATGAGAAACAACAGAGAAGGCATAAACTCTAGAATTCAAAGATCAAGATTTTAATGTTAGCATGTTGGAACTTGACTATATAATCTAAAAATAGGTAGACTTAAATTCCTATTGTTTTGTTTTTAATCTCTAAAATGAGGATGATAATGCCAATCCAGCCTAACTAACTTTATCATTGTGAGCATCAAACATTATAGTTCTGTCCTTTGCAAAGTGCAAAATTATCCTCTGAATGAGAGTTTAGACAAGGCATAGCAAAGATGGCTTATCTGTGCTCCATGATGTCTCAACTGTGAAAGATTCAATGCCTGGGGTGGCTTGGTGGCTGGAGACTACTTTGAGACACATTTATTAACATGGCTGGTAGTTGGAAACTGGGACTTAAGCTGGGGCTGTCAGCCATAATACCTAAACATACCCTCTTCATGATAGCTTCTTCCTAGCATGTCTGCCTCAGGGTTATCAGACTTCTAAAAGGCAGCTAAAAACTTCAAATGCTAGTATTCCAGAAAACAGTGTGAAAGTTGTATTCATTTTCTGACCCAGCCTCCATCACTTTTGTTGCATTTTATTGGATACAAGTAAGTCACTAAGTTGGTTCAAATTCAAGGAGAGGGGATATAGATCCAATTTTTTTTAGTCATTGATGGACCTTTATTTTATTTATTTATATGTGGTGCTGAGAATCAAACCCAGTGCCTCACACATGCTTGGCAAGTGCCTCACTCTACCACAGAGACACAACCCCAGCCTTAGATCCCACTTTTTTTTGGGGGGAGGGGGATACTGAGGATTGAAATCAGGGACACTTGACCATTGAGTCATGTCCCCAGCCCCATTTCATGTTTTATTTAGAGACGGGGTCACTGAATTGCTTAGCACCTCGCTTTTGCTGAGGCTAACTTTGAACTCATGGTCCTCCTGTCTCAGCCTCCCAAGCACTATAATTACAGATGTGTGCCACCACACCTGGCTAGATCCCACCTTTGGATGGAAGAAGTGCCAAGGAATTTTCAGACATGTTTTAAAATCACCACAGGTCTTTTTAGAATAAGAAACTGGCTGCTCTGCAGAACAAACTACTCAACCTCCTCTCCCCACGAGGAGATTCTATACCCAATCAAATTCTCTACTCTTTATTACTTGGAATTACTAAGATATATCTCAGTRTGCATATGAACAAGGCTTTACCTTCTTTTTTCAGTTTCTGGACACTCCACTGCATGCAAAAATAAACATAGGCCCTTTTCATTGGACACAGCCTGTCTACTCCTGGATACTTTCCCATAAATCCCMGTGCTGCCATGGGCAATGTTGACATGCTAAAACCTTCTATCCCAAACAGTGTTCCTGGAACCTGTAATAAGCCAAGCCAGATTGTAGTCTGATCAGAAACAGAGAACACTTCCCTTTTGTGGTATTGTGGGCCATATGGGCATCAAGTTAGTATCATCTTGCATTCTAAGTTCTTACATACATTTTAGTCAGCATGATGCTTTTAGGTTTTGCTCACAATCCCACTTTCCCCTAAAGTAGTTATATTTACAGAAAACTGGAGAAGAAATCTAGATAAGAAGAACAAGTCAGAAAGTCAGAACTGTTGCTCTAGTTGATGACTTAAATGCTGTTAAGAACATTGCTGCTATGTCTGACTCTCTCTACCTTGGAGATGAGTTCATTTCCAACCAGCATTTCTATCTTGAATTCTACATTCTAATAGACAATAGATAGGCCCACCAGTTGGCCAGACCTGCTCGACCAGGTCTGATCCATGTTGATATGGTCARTAACTGGGAAACAAATATCCTCCCAAAGGCTTCTAGAGCTACAACCAGGTTCATTGATGTGAAACTGATCACAACTTAATATTTTCTTTGTGAATCAAGGTTACCATTATGAATAACATCCCATGTTGTTTGATAGTAGAGAGTTATTCTCCAAAGCTATTTAGATGTGAATAGAAAACAATCAGAATTTATTCAGAACGACTTTCTTATTGAGAAACTCTTGTAATTGCTTCTGTGGAATTCCAAATTCTGCCTAAATACTTTAACAATGRATATTGCAATAATATAGTACAGAGATGGATATTGTAATAATATAGTACATTCATAATATAGTACATCTCACATTTTCCAGATTTTCTAACTTTTTTCCCTTGGAAGACTTTTCTTCTAGATTCATGAAATTTATTAGAATATTTATTCCTAACTTTTAATAAAGAATTTATATTTCAGAATGTTTCTTTTTCTTACAACATATTGCTCATACTACTCTTGAGTATGTTAAGATAGAGTTTTATGAAATATCTTTTATGTACTTATTTTTTATTATTAGTGTCTTTAAAGTTTTCTTTTTTCTTTTTTTTTGGAAGATGCAATAGACTGTATACCATATGTTACCTTTTGGCAAAAATAGGGGGGAAACTATATGTAGTTTTAGAGAAGTTCACCCCCCACATCTGCAGCTTTTCCCCCTCTGGTTTTAGTTACCTGTGGTCACCCATGATCTGAAAACTGTTAATGGAAAATTACAGAAATAAACAATTTATAAGTTTTAAATTACATGCCATTGGTTAAAGTGATGAAATCCTGCACCATCTGACTCCATCCCACTGGAATGTGAATCATCCCTTTGCCCAGCCTATCCATGCCATATATGCTAYCCGCCTTTTAGTCACTATTGCAGTTATCAGATTAGCTGTCATAGTATTGCAGTGCTAGTGCTCTAGTAA